GGCTATATTCTCATGAATTTCAAGGATGATTCTACAATAAAATCATGTTTTTAACTCATAAAACTTACCTTCAATCGACCCAGTTGAATCTCTCTTCAATCCCCGTCCAAAAGCTCTCAACAATGCCCAAAAATGGAGGAAAAGTGGGTTGGGTTCGCGGATGAAATGTTTTAAAACATTCTGCCCAGGTCTGACCCCTCCTTCTTCGCGTTCGCGAGACCACTCTTGCGTTCGCGAAGGCCAAGTTCCCCAGACTCTTCGTGTTCGCGTAGCATGTCTCGCGTTCGCGTAGACCAATTGACTCCAGGCTCAAACTCCTTCTATGCGTTCGCGATTGCACTCTCGCGTTCGCGTAGCACACTGTTCCCCTCCTTCGCGTTCGCGTCTCATCCTTCGCGTTCGCGAAGGCCAAATTTCAGCTCCCCCATTTTTTCCTCTTCGCGTTCGCGAGACACCCCTCGCGTTCGCGAAGAAGGAAACCAGATACCAGCAATTCAGCAATCCAACAAGTTCCAAAAATGACCCGTTGACCATCCGAAACACACCCGAGGCCCCCGGGACCTCAACCAAAAATGCCAACATATCCTAAAACCTCTTTCAAACTTGTTCCAATCATCAAAACACTTCTAACAACATTAAAACCATCATTTCTCATCGACTTCAAGCCTAATTTTTTCAAAAACTTCCGAAGTACGCATTCGATCAAAAATCCAACCAAATTACCTCCGAATGGCCTGAAATTTTGCACACACATCCCAAATCACCTAACGAAGCTACTGCAACTCTCGGAATTCCATTCCGACCCTCGGATCAAAATCTCACCTATCAACCGGAATTCGCCAAAATACTAACTTCGCCAATTCAAGCCTTGTTCTACACCGGACCTCCAAAACCGATTCCGATCGCACTCCTAAGTCACAAATCATCCCCCGAAGCTAACCGAATCACCGGAATTCACATCCGAGCCCTCTAACTCAATAGTCAACATCCGGTTGACTTTTCCATTACAAACCTTCCTTAAAGAGACTAAATGTCTTATTTTCTACCAAAACCAAACCGATTCGACTCTAACTTACAAATGCCGATAATGAAACATGAAGAAGCAATAAATGGGGAAAACGGGGCGGTAACACATGAGACGGGTCGGGTCGTCACAAAAATACTAGTAGATGTCTAGTATAAAAACGAGTTTAGAAACTTACCAAGAGGAACAACTTGATCTTCACCCAAAAACGAAAATTGCTTGTTGATTTAGTAGGAATTCCCTAATTTTTCAAGAAAAATTTAGTGCCGTGGAGGAGAGAGAGAGAGATATAGATAGAGAGATAGAGAGATAGGAAAAAGGTCTTCCTTTTTTTTTTCCTTGAAGAATAAACCAAAACAATTGGGGATTTTGTTGGATAGATATGAAAATAAAATGGTTCCCCAACTACTAAATAAATCTTAGATAAATACAAAAGGTTGGAAACCCAAAAACTTAGTTATAAACTATATTTAATAACAATTAGTCAAACAAATATTAAGTGTTACATTAGCAACATCATGGAACTTCATTGCCAATATTAAAACAACCTAAAGTAAGAAATTTTTCATATATTGACCATTTCACATTTAAAAAGTGCAAGTTAAAATATTTCTTCGTTATAAAAATGCTCAATCAAGAATGCAAATATTATAAAAATTTTGGGGTGTTACATTATAAATCATGTGTGTTTTTAGGAAAAATTATGTATATATGCATATGTTATTTATACACTTATTTATATTTAAAGAGATATTATAAATATGCCATTTATATTTTGCACTAATATTACATGCATATTTGTACAAATTATCCGTATATAAATAGTATATGTGACATATTTTTTCTTCTATATACATATTAATGGCATATTAATATTTTAGATTAAATTTTATGTAAGGTATATGCTAGCAATATACTTTGAATAATATCAATATAATAATGTAGTATGATGTATATATAAGTGTTATATATATATATTGGTGGAATATTTACATTGTAAATTATCATAATATAATATACTTGAAATATGTTAAATGTATATTTTTAGTTAAAATAAAATTGTACAGAAAAAAGTTTAAAATAAAATTATACAGAAAAAAGTTTAAAACTCAAAAAAGAAAGAAATACTAAAATTCTCATTGTGTAAAGAGAATTATTTTTGAGAGATTCTACTTTCAGAATCTTTGATATATTTGGGTAAGTGTTATTTATGGAAGAGAAAAAAGAAGTTATAGAAGAGTGAGAAAAAAGAAAATATAGTAAAAAGTGTATTAATGTAGAGGGATCCTTTAGTTAATGGAGTTACCAAAATGAAAGTGCTAAAAAAGTGTTTAAAAAAAAGTGTTGTTTTTTAAAATAAACAAAGTCTACTATCATTTATGATAATAATTTTTAAAAAAGGGACCAAGCATGTAAAAAATAGAAGGGAGGGATAAAATGGGTTATTTCGCGCTGATGTGACATGTCACATGACATCCACCTCATCAAATGTTAGTGCCACGTAGGATTGTAAAAATAACACGTGCTAGCCAGTTTTCGGACTAGTCATTCAAAAATAGTCAGCGTTTGCAAAGCCATTGAAAAATAGCCACTATTTTGCTGCAATACGGAAAGTTCCAGCATAATATACTGGAGATCGGTGCACCTATGTATGAACTTCCAGTATATTATGCTGGTACTCCAACACGCACAACTCCAATCTCCAGTATAATTTACTGGAACTCCAATATATTATACTGGAGTAATTTTCCGGATTTTGAACAGTGTTTTCGTTCAGATTTATCTTTACATGAAAAGTGACTAAATTTCGATTACTTTTAAAACTGTGTCTATTTTTCAATGACCACTTGTAAATCTGGCTATTTTTGAATTTCTCCCCGTAGGATTAGATATCCACTGACCACTTTAAGCAAATTTAACGGAATAGAAGTATATTTGAACCAATAATATTACGGTACGGGTATATATGAATCGAAAGTATAAGGCGAAATGGCTTCCTGGCCACTTAAACTTGTAGGGCTTTTGAAAGCCGATACACAAACTTTCGTCTTTCCCATTTGAACACTCAAACTCGTGAAACCCTTAACTAATAAACACATTTGACCCTTGACCCTACGCGCGTGTATTACACATTCACAGACGTGTCCATCCAGTCAGCAAATGATCAATGGAATTGTTACACGTCAAGGGAAACAAACCCCATAGATGTGCTGGAATAAATATATTAATTTCTACTTTTCTTCTATTTCCCTTATTTTCTTCTTCACCATAGTTGCGCAACTTTTACCTGATGGGGACGGAGCAAAACGACGTCACCATTGTTGTTCTGGAGCTGAAAGGACATCCGCCCTGTTCCGCAGCATTTTTGTTGTGAGTCCTAACCATTCTAGTCTCCTAAAATTGGGATCCCATAGCTGTTCTTAGCACTGCTAGAAATATGCAAATTAATGATGGAATTTTGCTAAAGAAAAATATCCATATATATACACGTACATATCTCCGACGAATTCCGTCGCAATAAGCGATCTAACCAAGGCAAAACAAGGAAATATTTTTAAATGATTTCCCGACCGATGGAATGACCCACGATTTCGGTCGGAAATTGAAATGTTATACAAAGGGAGTCTGCTACTAGAAAAATGCAAATTATTCATTGTATCTATCTCCGACGAGTTCAATCGGAAATGAAAAGCGATCCAACCAACACAAAACGTGGAAATAATTTAAAATGATTTTTCGATCGATGGAAAGACCGACAGTTTCAGTCGGAAATTTCTACTTTTCTTCTATTTCCCTTATTTTCTTCTTTACCATAGCTGTGCAACTTTTACCTGATGGGGACGGAGCAAACCCATAGCTTTTAACAGAGCAAACCCATAACTTTTACCTGATTTTTCCTTATTTTCTTCTTCACCATAGCTGTGCAAACCCAGCCGCCATTTTCTTCTTCTTTTTTGCTTTTCCTCATAGTTTCTGTTTTTTTTTTAATAAATATTTTACAATCTTTTTAATGAATAATAACAGATACACGTGCCATTTGAATGTGACTTGTACGCACTATGTCCACGTAAGATAAGCTGCTGGAACATAAGCATAGTCAATGGTTAAATGTGTTTATTAGTTAAGGGTTTCACGAGTTTGAGTGTTCAACTGGGAAAGACGAAAGTTTATGTATCGGCTTTCAAAAACCCTACAAGTTTAAGTGGACAGAAAGCCATTTCGCCAAAGTATAATAAAGAGTATATTTAAAATTTTCTCATAGTACAAAGGTATATTTGATCATTTAGACATTTTTGGGAAACGGAAAAAAAAAATTCCGTATGTGTTCGTTAAAAAGGCAGTCACCGGTCGACGCAGCTATTTCTTTTGGTGGAAGAAATTAACGAAACCCTTTACTTGTTGCCCAGTTAATTAATATCTATAAATTCATAGGAATTACAGTTTTGTCGCTATTTGTTTTTTCTGGAGATTTTTACAGAAAAATGACATTGTATAGCCGCTCTTAAAATAATAGCGAAAAAAATATATATTTTAGATACTTTTACAGTTACCAGATATAAATAATTTTGACACGGGCTAAAAGTAATCTTTGCCCGATTTTTATAGCATTACTTTGCCTAGTATCTCCTATTTTTTTTTTTATAAAGGTAAGGTCTAGTTTTTAGTGCTTCAAACTACTAATAATTAATCGAAAACGTGGTGTGGGCGGGGAGGAGGGGGGGGAGGGGGGCGGAACTCATAATGATGATTCTAGAATTAACACACAAAAAAGTATACTTCCTCCGATCCAATTTAATTGGTTTTTAGTTGTTTTCACACATATTAAAGAATTCGTCTTTTAACATTAATTAATAATAAAATTAAATAATTGGCCATAATCCGAAAAAATAAAATATTTTGGACCGTAGAAAAAAGTTTGGCACATATAAATGCTTGGGGAAAGAAAGACGTTTCCATATATGTTTGGAAAGGAAAAAAAGGTTTCCATTAAAAAGGAAGTTCCCTAATTACCATACCTATTTCTTCGGGTGTAAGAAATTAATTTGACAACCAATGAAACCCTTACTTGTTCCCCAATTAATTATCTCCTAAACGGAAACCTACAGATATCTATAAATTCATAGGAATAGAACTCAGAACCCTCGCCTCACCTCTCACTATTCCTATTTCTGTTTCAATTTTATTGAAAAAAAATTCCAAGAATGGAGCATCTGCAAGAGGGTTTTATTCGATTTCGTCCTACTGATTCAGAACGACTTAAGTACTTATTGAGATTCATTGCTAAACAAGAGATGAATGATTCTGGAATTATCACAACAAACATCGACGTCTATGGCGGAGAAGAACCATGGGAAATTTACAATCACGGCGTACCCTGTGGTAATGATGATGATAATGCGGACAGCAGTAATTATCGCTATTTCATTACAAAGCTGAAGAAGAAAAGCAAGTCGGGGTATAATCGAGAGGTAGGTAATAAAGGGAGTTGGAAACAGCAAGATAAGGCTAAATCAGTTCGCTACGAAAATACGGGAAATTCATCATCTGTGATTATTGGATGCAAAAAGAGCTTGTGTTATGTGAATAAAGAGTACTATAATCAGAATGATGGACATTGGGTGATGAAGGAGTACGAACTCTCTAGTGTTATTCTTCAGAAATTCGACGAAGATCGTAGAGATTATGTTCTTTGTGCCATCAAAAAGATGCCACATTCTGCTGATTATGCAAGGTGCCTGAATTAGGAGTTCTTGATTATCAATGGGATGAAAAGGACTTAACTGATTTGAATTGGATGTTATGTGATAATTGATATGCCTGAAGTTCTTGAGATGTTGGCACAAAACGAAGCTTTTGAGTTCTATTGATTAACTGTATATTCATTCTTGATAGATATATGGTAGAGATTTGATTAACAATGGCATATGTCCATCTTTTTATCTTTGTAATCAAATGGCCTGATTATTGTCATTCTTTTTATGTTGAGAAATATTAAGGGGGAATAAGAAAGATTGTTTCCTTTCTGAGTTGGTGACAGTCATGTTGATTCTTGGGTGGTTCAATTACTCCCCAATAGTTTGTGTCAACCTTGAATGATTACAACAATAACGACCCCGTAAAATCCCACAAGTGTGATTTGGAGATGCTGTTTCCGATAGACCCTCGGCATAAACCTTTAATGATTTTGAAGTCTAATAACAGAATTGCTATAGAGACAAACACAAACCAGATGAGACTATTCATGACTAAAAACTAGTACAATAAAATGAATGACAACACTACATAAAGTGTCCCAGTTCATCTTGAATCTGTAAAGATTGTTTTTCCCATTACTCAGTACAAGAAAATACAGAGGTAAATGTGGTGATTGCAGCTTTATCCTCTCCTCAAAGAAATATGGCAGAATTTTTTTCTGATCCTCTTCCTGAAATATAGGCATGGAAGTGGTTGAATAATGAACTTCAGAGTGCTCTTTCACTCCAAGAGAAAACTCAACTTAGTCCTGACTAGTTCAAACGCGTCGCCTTGCTTAAAGCTCTGACATTTTACAGAACTCAGCTAGGGCCGGCAGCTCCAATTCATAATTCAAGTTTGAATTTTGGAAGGGCAGCGGCAATCTCACATCTGAACTTCAAAAACAGAAATAAGCATATAGCCCCATAAAACTGAGCAGAATTTCTCTAGTACACCACGGCCCAACGCGTTCAAAGTTCAAAGTTCAAACATAAACATTTTAATACCATAAAACCCACCTTGCTATAATTTTACATACATAGTCAAAGCAAAGAAACACTTCAAGATTGTCAACGGTAGTGCAGCAAAAGTGATCATAAACTTCGTACGAACATCCACAATTTTATTATCAAGCTAGATATCTGAAGTAGATATTCAATATCCAGCTGAAAATGAAAAGAGTACAACCCAGTTCACTTTTTAAGGGCTTTTTAGCAGTGCTAGGTTGTAGGTCTATTACAGGCGACTTGGTGAAAGATCAGGATCCATGAGAAGAACAAAAAGAAGGGTTAAGAGAGAATTCAAAGGAGAACGGCGTAAGTAGTATTACGATATAAAGGTAACCACTCAAACAGACTGTAAATGGGAGTGGTCTGAGCAAAGGCCCTGTCCTTCAAAGCTCCAGTTGAGGGAAAGCAAATGTTTATATTCAAGTTCCGGCCCCAATTTTCACTAAAGAGGAGTTCAGAAGCAAAGTAAACATTTGTTTGCATCATATAAAGGGTAGAAAATGGAAAAAAAGAAATAAGCTTAGATGACTCAAAAGCAGGTTAATGGAGGGATCATGCAGGACACCTGATGGTACCGACAGTGTTAAATCCAATGAAAGGCAAGGGAATTGAATTCCTAATCATAGCCCAATATCCCCCTTGAAGAGCATAATAAATTTACACTTTAATAGCATAAATTCTTGGTACCTAACTAGCCAAATATTTTTCATGAACCAGGCTTCACAAACAGAAGAGCTGGAAATATGCAAGAATCTCAGAGGATCATAAGGCCCCGTATAGAATAGAATTCAAATCATTGACTTAGTTACAGGATTCGGAAAAAAATGAACAAAAATGCATTAATTAGTGTCTATCGTTGGGTGAGAAAGAGAGAGAGAAGGAAGGAGAAGAGGGTGTTCGCATGTAGTTCCTTGGTTCGCATACTAAACGTTGAAGATTTTGCATAAGATGATTATAGGTTTTAGAAATGGGAATTTGCATCCTACACTTGAAAATATTTGCGCCAATCCTATTAACACAGGGAGGGTATTTCGATTAAAAAAAGAGCGAAGGGAAAGGGATATAAGTGGATAATGGAGGGTGATGCTGAATTTTTGGTAGTCTCCGCAAAAAGTGAGGGTAAGGGCAAGTGACTGACAGGGTAATGCTTTTTCAAACCCCTACCCATTGCCATACCTGCACGAGTTGTAAAGGAGTAAATGAAACTACGTCACAGAACTGAACATTTTTATTTTTTAATCAGTCAGAACTGATCTTATTCTTTAAAACATCAAACTAAGTAATGACAAACATCCCCAATAATTGGCTAGTTTTAACTGAAGTCTTCCAATACATTCTCAATCTCTGCTAGTAGAACACTTAAACTTAATATAAGTAAAAGGTTATCGAATCAACAAGATGTAAGAATAACCCTTATTTCCCCCCACTAAGAAATCACCATATGTAAAGGTGCTTCATTCAAGTGTAAAGAACCATAAGAGTCGTGAAAATGAAGCATAGCTAGATGAAGCCCTTTACTATACTACAGCTGACAAAAGAAAGAACCATGGAGCTCCAACAACACCAGAGGCATTATGTGAATCATTCCAAGGGAAGGTGCCAATCGAGTCGTACAACTATTTCATCAACAACTCAAATTAGGAACCGAAGCCAAATCAAACATTCTATTTGGTAAAGCTAAAGTGTATACAATTTCCGGGGCATGGATAGTAGTAGAAGCACGAAATAATTTTATTTTGTGGGTTCAAGATTAACATTTTTAAGGTGAATAGAACATTTATAGGCAGATTACCCTTTATTTTTGGGTAACAATCTGACAAACGAGGACAATTCTACATAATTTATGGAATATTACAATTTTAAGAAAGTTATTATTAAATTTTAAGAAAATTAAAATCATAGTAATACATAGTATTCCATACGTGATAAAGTTTTCTCTGAGGAAATTGTTGGGGATGGTTTGGTTTTTGATACTAAATTATAAGAAACATTTTTGAAGCCAATCCCGAAGATGGGGCCAATGACAGAGAGAACCTAGCAATTCCAGGTGCCCGCACACTTCCATGCAAACATTGAAAGGATTTCTATATCTTATATAATATCCTTACGTTATCAGTTGTGCACCATCTTGAAAGAAAGAACCGATTTGGTACTTAGTAGAATGAGAGCAGCAATGGAATAAGGAACTGATTTTGTACGTTTTTACTTCTAGTTCTTATTGAGTTATGCAGAATGAACGAAGGCACTTAGAAGAATTGAGTATGCAGTAAGGCACTTAGTAGAATATGGTTTCTTTGGGCATAGCTCAATTCTTATAGGTCCCTAAAACAAAATGACAAATGCTTCCCTTGTGCATGGACGACAACTTTTTATTATTGGTTGATAAAACCAAAACAGATAAGTAGTTTTTTCCAATCTAATTTGAAACTGCGCATGTACACACTATGTATGTAATTTAATTCACTACCACGAAATCCATCAAAAACTTAAATGATTGGTAAGGCAATTCTCCTTCTCCCATTACTGCTCTCTTTCCCTTCCTGCTTCTCCAGAAATGAGATACTTTGATTTCACTGATTCTACAATTTCTTCCTTGCTGAAAAAGCTGAAAGTGGTTTGTTCCTCTTTTTTGTTAAACTTGTTACATGATCCTCATAACTTAAATGCCAAGTAGCAGTGAGGCACTCAAGAAAATCGCAGTGAAGATACATCTCAACTGAAAAGGTGCAAATTCTCTCAAGCTTCTTTCTTAGCCCAACCACCTTGAAGCGCACCTTAAAGTCCTTAAACACTTCTTCAGAATCTTTAAATAAGTATGGCATATTGCTTATGTATGTGCACATTGTAATTCATAAGGTAAAACTCATAGTACTACAAGACTTTGAGAGAGTCGAGAGAGGAAAGACATTCAATCCAAACTCAAATATACTGAGTAGAGTGTATACCATGATCACTTCTCTGGCTCTCTTTTGAAGGGTCCATCAGGAACAACGCCGACTGACTCATGATTGCTGCCACTAAACATGTCCATTCCTTGTTCCTGCATTAAATTTAATACTTGCTTGGGACCGACAGGCAGCTGAACAAATAGAGTGAAATAGTACATTCAATTTGAGTTTATTACCTGATTATTTGACGATTGACCGTGCATCCTTTGAGGTCTGGAATTAAGGTCAATCAACTCATTCTCCATTTTCACACTACTATTCACATTATTTTCTAGCCCTACCTTAGCAGTTTCCCTGTTTGATTGGTGGTTTTCTATCATAGGGAGCTTGAAGGGGTGTGCCGGCTCCCTCCTTACATCACCTTGTTCAGTAGATGGCAATCCTAGTTCATTTGAAGGGCCCAATTTATCCCCTGGAAACTACAGAAGGACATAAAAGAAAGAATGAATATAGACTCTTTCCCTAAAAACTACAAGAACCTGAACAAGCGTTTGTCTTAGCATGAATTTACAAACCTCAATTCTCTGCCTTATAAGGAGATATCTTCCATGGGTTCTTTTACCTCCAACATGGACAATCATATCACATTGCAAACAAAGGGAACTTCCATCGATCTCACAATAAAAGAAAGCTACATACAAGTTTCCACCAAAGAAGCACATACTTCATATAATTTTGCAATCTTGACCAGCAGAAGCAGGATAAGGAAAAAGAGAGCAATGAATATACATACCAGGTGCATTTTCACATATGTCGCAACGTTGGATTTTACTGGGGTCAGCAAGCCCAACTCTTACATGTCGACTTGCAAGCTTGTTGCACATATGGACCTTGAACATGGACCATGAATTTCTTTGAGTAGAATAAAGATGGATTGCACTTGTGAGTTAAAAATGCATACAAACAGATATTAACCAAATGAGCCAGGGGATTATACTGTACTCCCTCTGTCCATTATATGACACAATTTCCTTTTAGTTTGTCCTAAAAAGAATGACACCTCTCTATGTTTAGAATAATTTATCTTTAAACTTCACATTTAGCCTTAATGAGATTATTTAGAGCCGCAAGAATGTTTATTGCTTGTTTTTAGACCATAAGTTTCAAAAGTATTTCTCTTTCTTAAACTCCATGCCCAATCACACACTACCACACAAAATGAGAAGGAGGGAGTACCAAATTAGTTCCTTAAAATTGACAGTTCTTCTACCCTTATTAAGGTCACATAACATCCGACAACCTGAATTTCATTTTTGCGTTTCCAAACAATAGAAGTGTGTTGGCACCGAAAATCAATAAAAGGGCATGTAGATATAGGTGAGACGAGCTAAATATGAAGAAGTTTGCAAACCATGCATTGGAAGATACGCCCTTAACAAGAGAAAAGTGTTATGAAGAAAATCATTCCAAAGAAAGACTGATAGTCCATTAGCACCAAAAGGTATGCCAATCGGTCAATGAAGTTGATGAAAACTATGGGAGACCAAGGTTCGAATCACACCAGAGACAAAAGAATCGAGGTGATGTCTTCCTAGCCGCCTAAGCCTTGGAGGCAGAGTTACCATGTACTTGTGTTGGTGGGAGGTAACAAGTACTTGATGGAATACACAAGGTGCACACAAACCGGCTCGAACACTACCGTTATCAAACAAAAAAGGCCTCTAGTCCATTTAGGTTGATCAAGGTGTGGACGTGGAATTCCAAAAGATGCAGTACTAAAAAAAAAAGACTGCACTGAATTGAATACGCTAGAAGACCAGGCATAGTAAAAGTAGTAAGTACAAGGGAAGAAAACTAGGCCACCATATGCACTACGCACTACACCAGCGGAAGATGTAAGGAATCTTAAAATCCTAGATCCCTCTCTGCTCAAAACTAACAGAATAGGAGGCTCAAAGTAAATATGTAAATTATTATTTCATAAAGTAGAAACCTTGAGTTACAATATGGATCAACAATTAATCAACCAATTCAGGATATTATAGTACCCAAAAAAAAAAAAAGCCATGTCTAAGCATCGACTAGAAAAAATAAATCGACATATATAAAAATATAAAGGGTTACAAATGGCTGATAAATTGATAAATGGAGTACTGAAAATGGAATTCGATAAATACCTTTTCGTCACAAGCACGACAAAGAGCAGCCTCATCAGCAGCACAAAAAAGTATAGCAGCAGCACTTTCACAAACATCACAAAGGGTTCTCATATTTGTTTATATATCTATTTTTCACTCTTCAAGTCATTTTCCAATATTCACAGACCCAGAAAACCATACAATTAATCAAACAAAAAATCCAGAAATATGTATAAACAATGTCAAAATCTAACTGTCCTTAGCACACAAAGTTAAGTTTTTTTCTTGAGAAGATGAGGGAAACAAAAAGAGAATATTGGGGTTATGACAAAGAAAAGAAGAAGGGGAAAAGAACTGGTGGTTGAGCAGTGTTAGGAAAAGAGGAAGAATGCTATAGGAAGGAGGAAAGAGAGAAGAAATGAAAGAACCAGAAAAAGGAAAAGAAAAAAAATAAAGCGTGGAGGACAAATATTATTTTTTGATTTGTCCGGTCCGGATTTGTATCGCGTAAGGCACCATTCGGAAAAAGTGCTTCCTACTAAGAATTTTTTGATATCCAGGCTCGAGCTCGAGACCTACCGTTAATGGAAGAGCAGTCCCACCTACTACACGTAATACAGAAACACACCACACAACCAAAAGGTGACTATTTTTTTGGTCTTCCAACTTCTAATGTTGGTCATTTTCTTGTCGAAATAGCCCTTTCTATCAGTTACGATATTGGTCATTTTCTTGTCCAAATAGCCCTTTCTATCAGTTACGATATTGGTCATTTTCTTGTCCAAATAGCCCTTGTTGCAAAAATATTAAATAGTCGGCAAAGTTACATGGTTCGGTGTGATTGCTGTTGCTTTTGCAGGCAGATGGTCATTTCATCCATATGTTGTTGGTTGAACTTCATTCAGTTCGGGCTCGTTTGGCATGTGGGATAAGAAGTAATTAATTTCGCGATTAAATTTGAGATGAGTTTATCTCGTGTTTGATTGGGATAAAATCGTAATATAACTAATCCCGAAAATAATTATCCCAGAATTTTAGTATTTCGTTATCCTTATGGGAGAATGGAATAACTAATACCAAAATAACTAATCCCGAAATAACTTGTGTCTAACCAAACGACCCCTTAATATATTATATGGTTCTGTCGTAGAGATGAAATAGCTCCTTTTTTTCTGTTAAGGCGCACACAAAATGATCCGAAAACCACTATTAAAAAAACGTTCATTTTGTTGCTCATTATGTGGGATTATGATTGTAAGCCAGCGTGCTATTTCTATGTTAAGGAACCTTAGTATAAGTTAGCGTTTGGCCATAAATTTTTAAATTTGTTTTGAAAAATCTATTTGGATAAAGTTTGATTTGAAGAGAAAATGTGTTTGGACATCAGTTTTCAAAACATATTTTCCAAATTTATTTTGGAAAAACATGAAACATGACTTATACCCACAGGTTCTAAAAGCTATCACAAATACCCAACAATACCATTATCAATAACATTCATTATATTATCCCAAACCATAGCCCGGAACATAAATAAATTTGATATAAATTATTATTTTTATAATGAACTACATGATACACTATCAAATGACCGAGAAGACGAAACAACATTGTTACAAAATAATAAATGATGGGCTCTTTTCTAAAATATAAAAATTTGGGGCAATTTATAAAAAATGTAATATGATAGAGCTAATTTTGGGATTTGGTAAGATGTAGCCAAAATCTATGGCCAAACATGTGTTGCTAAATAAAATCTCAGTTTAAATCTATAACCAAACGGGTCGTTAGTATACTTTTTCCAGAAAAATAGCAGTATGTGTGTGTATATATATATTGAAAATAGTTGCCACTATGCCTAATTGCCACCGCCATCTATTTTCTTTTGTCATGCCCCACCGTCCCCAAACCTTTTGTCCTATGGGATAGGAAGCCTAAAACAAGTTTTATATACATGGTATCAAAGATAATAGGGGTTGTTCAGATGGTTAGTATTCTTTACCTATAACTTTAAAATTGGGGGCTCGAATCATCAGAGGAGCAATAGCTACACGGATACTATAAATATTTTACATAGACGGTATATTTTAGTTTAGTAAATTACCTATTAAAAACATATTAATGGTTTCAATTTCACCAAGAGTATTTTACTTCTTATTCTCAAAATGTCCTATTTTGCCGACTTATAGCCTGTTTGGTCAAGTTTTCTTTTGGCCAAAAGTGTTTTTTTTTGCCAACAGTGCTTTTGGCCAAAAGTGCTTTTTTTTTTTTTTGCCAAAAGAAAAAAAGTGCTTTTGAGGAGTAGCAGAAGCAGTTTTGGAGAAGCAGAAAAAAGTAGCTTCTTTTTCGAAAAGCATTTTTGAGAAAAATACACTTAGAAGCAGTTTTTTAAAGCTTGGCCAAACACTAATTGCTGCTCAGAAGTGCTTTTCAAACTAATTAGCCAAACACAAATTGTTTTTCACCAAAAGTACTTTTAAAAAATATACTTTTTAAAATAAGTTGATTTTTGCAGCTTGGCCAAACGGGCTATTATTGTCCCTTAAAATGAGCAAAAAAAAGGAAAATTGAAACAAAACAATAGTTTTCTTTTTTGGGGTGGTTTTAAAAGTTGGCAAACAAAAGCAGATTAAATAGAGAGGTGGTCCACAACCAATCCAGTAGAAGAGCCATGGCCCATCGCCAATTGACACGTGAGAATCCAGAAGCCGTGGCGAGCGTGGCTTGTTCTGGATTTAGTTGTTGGGCCCACAGACCAGAACACACATGTCACAATTCACAAGAGTAGATCAAATGAACAATTCTTAGCCACATGCTTCTAAAGTCTTGATAGCTACCTCTCACTCATTTTCACCCACTAATTCCTTTCCTCCCTGTCCCACATTTTGAACCGTGGGGCACGAAATTTAAGAAAAAATAAAAGATTTTTGGAATTTGTGATTCAAAGCAAGTTAAAAAGGGCCTAAAGTATTTATATGATAATAAAAGTCTCTCATTAAGGGTAGAATTATAAGTTTAAGTTAAATTGTTACCAAATTTAGAAAGCGATCATTCTTTTTGGAACGGACCAAAAAGGAAATAAGTTCACATAAACTGAAACAGAGGGAGTAGTATATCTTTATTTTTACTTTTTTTTTATATTTAAAAGATGGTGCTTGGCTTAGTTACCAGTTACCACACCTCGATTATTTCTTTTAGATACATATTTATTTTTTTCGATACCTATATTACTTCCTCTATTTTAAATTATATTTTCTAAAGAGTTAAATTGATTAATAGTTAAAATTAAATTATATTAATTAAGTATTTTAAAATTAATAAGTAGTAATTCTTTTCATGTTAATGAAAAAAATATATATTTTAAATATTAATCAAAATTTTGCATAATCTAAATCTCGAAAAGCAAAAAATACCGTATAAATTAGGACAGAGGGACTACCTCTCACTAGTAGAGACGTTGGATAATTCTACTTATCGATGCTTAGACATATAACAAATAAATAATATTTAATGTTTTGTGTTTTCTATTAAAATTTAAATTCTGATATCTTATACGAGTAATGTTTATTCATTTAATTAATTACTAATACTTATATCACACCATTATGTGTTGTATAACTCTTTCTTTATATAACAATATAGTTTTATTGTATTTTATTTTATTTCCATTATCCGTCAGGTATTTGTGTGCTATGAAAATCTATTCTTTTTCCGGATAATTTAAATTAACGACTCCACTCTAATTTCTAATGATGATAGTTATTCATGACAGCGCTTCCAACATCTTCATTTTTATCCGCCTTCTAGATTTCTAACACTTGTTTCAATTATATTGGATGGTCGGATAGTACGTACTTAACATGTCATCAATTGATAATTTAATTTTACATTAAAAACTTTGGTCATTATGACTACCTAAGTCTAAGAGAGACGATTTATTAAAGTCTTATAGACAAGTATGATTCGTTTGAAATTACCAACTTCATTGTTCTTGCGTTTGAAAAGATGTTTACATTTTTTTGGAAAACAAAGTGTAATCACTATACTAAAAATGTTTATAATTCAAATTGGGATTGTTGAACAATTGTCCATCCGATAAAGTTTGTGAATAATTTGACAAGATGAGTAGAATGGAGATAATACTAATTTATGGTCGCCGGGTAAAACTTATGAACAATTGAATAACACATACAAGATTAGTCCATCCGATTAAACGTGTGAACAATTAAACAAGTATAAATCATTTTTCCAAGTGCAATTCCAAGACTGTTTTTGCAAAACTTCCTTTAACGGGAATGGCTTTCGACACAAAATAGGCTCTTGGTAATAGACTTAGAGATTAAGAAAGTAAGAAAGAGGAGAGGGTCAACCCAAGATCAAGTGGGGAGCCTTGACGAAGGACAAAGCCCAAGAGTTGGGGAAGAAGTTGTTGGCTATGGGAGCAGAGAGGAAAAGTGGGGATGCGAGTAGCTAGTATGTGGACCACAATAGCGGATTGCATAGAGAAGCTGCTAGGGAGGTGCTAGGGGTCACGAAAGGCTACTCCGAATGTCACAAAGGGGACTGGTGGTGGAACGGAGAGATACAAGAAAGTGAAAGCCAAGAAAACAGCGTATATGAAACTAATGAAGAGCGCCGACGAGGAGGAGAAGAGGACGAATATGGAGCACAATAAGAAGGCAAAGAAAGAGGCGAAGTTAGCGGTCACGGCAGCTAAGTCTGCTGCCTTTGAGCGCTTGTATGAGGAACTTGGGGGCAAAGACAATGTCGAGAAACTGTTCAGGTAGGCCAAGGTGAGAGAGAAGAAAGCTCGGGACCTGGATCAAGTGAGATGCATCAAAGACAAGGAAGGAAATGTATTGGTGGAAGAGGCGTAATTAGCGCATGCGGCAGACATACTTCCATAAACTCCTGAACTAGGATATGGACAACAGCATTGTGCTCGGGGAGTTAGAGAACTTAGAAAGCCAACGAGATTTCAGGTTTTGTAGGCATATTAAAATTGAGGAGGTTAAGGAGGCTATGTGGAGGATGAATAGGGATAGGTTGACCGAACCAGACGATATTCCAGTAAAATTTTGGAAGAACGCAAGAGTTGGGGGAGAATGGAGGTGGAGTTTGATGGTCCCGTTGTACAAGAACAAGGATGATGTCCAGAACTGCACCAACCATAGGGGTATCAAGGTGCTGAGTCACACCATGAAAATTTAGGAGAGGGTAGTGGAGAGGAGGGTGAAAACGAGTGTGTCTATTTCGTGGAATCAGTTCGGATTCATGCCGGAGCGGCCGACTATAGAAGCCATCCATCTTGTAAGGAGGTTGATGGAGCAGTATAAGGAGAGGAAGAAGGACTTGCATATGGTGTTCATTGACCTAGAAAAAGCCTACGACAAAGTCCATATGGAGGTTCTATAGAAATGTTTGGAGGTTAGCAGCGTTTCCGTAGCATATATTAGGATGATTAAGGA